AATAAATACAAATTGCTTATTGAGCTTCAGCAGCCCAGGATGGCGTTTCCATCTAAGGAGCTTTTAGCGGTATGTTGTCTGCAGGTCGCCACCGACCACATCCATCAGTTTGAGGTGAAAGCAGGGAGGGGAGGAGAGGAGGTGTAGTGGAGGCCCACTGCTAAGAACTCTCCCTCACTCTGCTCTCAGGGAGGATGTGGTTCCTTTCAAGGCTATGCGAACTCAAGACTTTCTAAATTTGTAGTCCTTACATCATTCAGCCTGCGGGGCTACTGTTTACCAAATCCATGCTTCAGAACCTTTCCTTACACTATTTTTCTCTTGTTTATTTGCGCTTAGCCGATGGTAGGCAGTGTTGTAATAGAGAAGCGGCGTCGGTAAATCCCTGTGGCGGAGGAACATGTTCCATAGTAGTGTAATGAGGACACACCCTGAGCTGACCTGCAGCTGTAAACACACATGCAGACACACCTGCCAAAAATGAGTCATCAAGGTGGGCAGGGGGCCGGGCCTGGAGAGGGCATGAGCTCATCCTGTTCGTTCTCGCACATTCCCACAGCTCATCCCCACCTTCTCTACTGCAACCCCCCCGCCCCCCCGCCCCCCCAGTACCTCTCTTCCCACTCTCATTGTGTGTGTTTGTTAGTGAGTGTTCTTATTTTCCCTCCTGGCCTTTGTTTTGGCGGCATCTTTTTCATCAGAGACAGGAAGGGGTGTGTTTGTGTGTAAATGTGTTCGAGGGAGGTTTTTGTTCACCTGGTAGCAAAGTAAGGAGGCGGAGCTTCACACTGGAACTTGGTGTTTGTGTGCGTGCGTGTGTGTGTGTGTGTGGTAGGGATTACTGTCAGAGAAGGCAGCAAGCGTGAGAAACAGGAGATGCAAAAGAAGCGTGAGAAAGCTACCTGGAAAACAGCTGGGAATGTCTGCTTAACAGGCTGACCAAACATACACGGATATATACTTAGCAACATAAACTTAGCACTAATGCATGCAGCAGTCAACTGTTTGTTCAAACTCAGTCTAAACGTAACCTCACTCTGGACATAAAATTGAATTTGGTTTGCTTTTCATCACCCTGCACACGAAAAGTCCTCACAAGATGAGCAACACGTTGACCACATACATTCCTGTAACGTACATGTTGGGTCAAACCCAAATGGGACACACACACTGACTCATCCTGCAAGAATTATAGTTTTGTAAGGAGGTAAACACATAACCCAAAAACATTGACTAAATGACGACCGTAACCTTTTCCTCCAATGATTTGTCATTTTATTTTTTTTCCAGACAGACTTTTTTTAAATGCATGATTCCTGTGTGACAAGATTCTGGGAGACAACATTTGTTTTACAGTTGTGTGAAGTTGCGTGTTCGTGCCTGTGTAGAAGTGTATAACGAGAAAAGGCTTCTGTATTCTCGGATTTCACTGGAAAGAGGAAGTGAACTCTTGTTTACAGCTTTCCCGCTGACAGATTATGCAACACTAAAGAGATGACGGTAACGAGCTTGTACTGTATACCTTTGAGCTTTCAAAGTGCACTATGGCCGCTGCATGTGTGTGTACATGGAAGACTGTGTGTGTGTATTCGAGAGCGAGAGAAGCTGTTAATTGTCACTTATGATGATAGAAACTCGTTTTCAGTGACACAGTTAAAGAGGTATCACTTACACACACACACACACACTCAGGTAATGCAGTCTCCTTGTTGTAAGCCTGTCATCTGTTCTCTCCCTTGCAGTGTAGTATATACATGTGGTAAAACAAGTCTGTACAGTATGACACACTTTGTGCAGGACAAAATGTCTTCAAACTACAGATCATGAGAAGTAAGAATATAGTCTCCCCAGGAATCTAGAGCAAAACTTGACTGATCTTGGGATGTGGCCATGATGTTTTCAAAGGCAGTAGTGAGACCTGCTACGATGTATGGTTAAAGAAAGTGGATGTGTCAAATAGACAACAAGCTGAGCTGGAAGAAGGCAGAGATGAAGATGCTGAGATTTTCACTGGGAGAGACCAGGATGGATGAGATTGGAAGTGAGCAGATCAGAGCGACAGTTAAGGTGGAGTTGATGGAGAAGATGAAGAACCCAGAAAAGATTCACTGATTTTGTGAAAAAGCATCTTGAGATTGTTGGTGTAAACGTAGAGTAGACAAGGACTGGTCAGCTGAAGTGTCCTCTGAAGGTAGCTGCTGAAAGAAGACAGTCATTATCGAATAAGTTAGACTGCCACTGACTCTGCAGACTGTCTCCATGTGCCTGTGACCACATGACATTCAAATGTTGCATTTAGGCAACTCTTTTCTGCTGGGTGTTCGGAAACATCCCTCAAATATGTGTGTAACTGACATCACTCACAGACAAGTGCCAAAGGGCTGTTGCAGACGGGCTGACAGTTGCATAATAAATGTGCTGTAATCTCCTGTTTTCAATCCACAGCAGTGCACTCAAGGGGCAGACCCTCCATGGTGGTCTTAAATTTCACTCAGAGAGATGTGCTGCTCACTAATTTATTACTGCAATATTGTTGAGTAGTGATCGTCTTTTACAGGTACTAAAAAATATGAATTAAACTTAGCAACATCATAATTAATGATCAAATGTTGCCGGACCACAGTTCATTTACAGTTTGGTGAGATGCTGTGCTCACAGGTCAGGTTATATAAACTTTGAAAGCTACTATAACTCTCTGTGTTACGTGTTTAAAAGTTTATAGCTCAGGGGAATGCAGCAGAGAGCGAACAGGAGCAAGAGCCTAAAATGGCACAAAAAGATTTATTGTCATCTCTTTGAAATGTCTTCAGGATGACGACCAAAGACATTTTTGTCGGGGGTGTACAGGACAACCTGATCAGCGTTGTCATACCCAGCACATGGAAGTATCACCTCAGCCTTTATTGAGATATTATGCTGACTTTGACATGTTTCTCAAAAGGTATTTTAGCAACATTTATATATATATATATATATATATATATATATATAACTCAACATCACCACAACAGAATTGGGTCATATCTGCATAAATTAGGTGATCGTTTGTTGCTACAGCTATTTTCCATTTTCTTTAATATTGATGCTTTTGTCGTGACCACGTGCACTATAATGCAGCAAATATATTAAGGCTGATTGTTGTAACACACACCGGCACTTTTCCTGCACACACTCGTGCACGCACGTCACTAATGTAGTGGTCATGCATATTTTCTGCAGGGCTGCTGTAGTTGTTTTCGTCCATATAGCTGATGACTCCCTTGGGCAATCAGCTGCGTTACACTCCCTGTGTGTATATATATTTATATACGTATATATGTGTGCTTATGCATTCTGTGAATGGCTCCACAACACCCTTAATTTATTTCACTTGCTAAATTCCTAGAATCTGACATATTTAGGTCAATAAACAGCCACCCTGACCTAAGGAAATGTCAGTGTTTTGATGGCCTTTTTATTTGTTTTCAGTTAAACAGAGAAACAAATTTTGATTTTTTTTTTTTAGAACAGAAATGTACGAGATAAAAGGTCATACATTTATAACACAGATTGACAAACAACAATCCTCCATGGGTCTGAGGACCTGCCTCAGCACCTGGATGTGCACTTTTGTACCTCTTACCACAGTGTTCCTGTGGCATTGAACTATTGGAAAGTAGCCCGCCTTTCAGTTGTAATAAATGTTTTCTGTTGTCATGAAATACTACAGATCATATTTTTGATAGTTTAAGATAGTATGCTGATTTTAAAAAGCTCCTATGGAAATTCTGTGTGTATGGAGAACCTTGCCACCCCATTTACAAACACACACCATAACCCCAGGCTGACATTTCAACAAGTTCATTGAGTTTCTGTTACCTCTCTGCAAACGTGTCTTAATGCAAGTATCTACTGTATAACCATGAATGATTCGGTGACACTTCCCTCCAGAGAGGTGTCCTCATGTGTCCTGGGGTGTTTGGAAAATTAACAAAAACTAATAAAAGTGTTGATTTTTCCACCCCAACCACTGAGGATGTTAGTCAGTGCTTTGATGGTGCGCAGTGCGTAATAGTGTCTGGAAGGCTGAAAGGTCTGCAGCTTTCTTTTGAGTCGTGCCTCTAATTAAACTTTGGTAGCGAGTTAAGTTAAGAAGGGAAACAGGAGCGGTGGAGGGAGCAGTGATGGATGGGATACAGTTTATGGAGACCATCACACTTTGCTCTCTCATTAGCTTTGCAGCTTCTACATATGCTGCAGGGACGAGCGTGCCCTAATGGAAGAGCTCTTCCTCTAGGCTACGCTTCTGCCCTTCACTCTGTCAATCAACATGCTCATTTCTCCTCAGCCCAGCCCTTCCTCTCAGCGGTTCCACAACACTTCACTGCACACAGGCTGTACTTACAACCTAGGTATGTGCATGCCAAGCCCCTCCTCCAGCAAATGTGAACAACCCTAGAAGTCAACCCCCCACAGCAGACCATACTCTCAGAATTACCCTCTGTTTAATTAACAGACTATGGGAATAAACAAACCTACAGCGATCTTAGCATATGGCTAAAGGTGCAAAATCATAATCCTATCACAGTGTTATTTATTCCCTCCCAATACCATGGGCTGTTTCAACATGCTGGTCTAATTACTACTGCTGGGGGTGGGGACTGAACGGCAAGCACACAACAACAATAACAATGCTAATGCTGGAGGCAAAAGTAGACGACGTCTCCACCCAATTCCTGATGCATGCGTTCTCAATAGGAAGCAGGGCTTTACAAACAATGAAAGAAAATGATAAAGAATCCAGATTTGTTCTCTTCATCCATCCCACCCTGTTAATGAGCTCTTTCTTAATGAAAAAGGATCTATGTAAATCCAAACATCTGCTGTGCTGAGGCCCATTCAAATGAGAGATGAAAAGAGATGGAAAAAAGGGGGCGAGAAAGGAAACACAGGCAATTGGCTGACTTAAATAACATCATTATTTATTGCATGTGTCTATAAAGAATCAATACAATCTAAAGCAATGAACTATGTTTAAATTATCGTCTCTTAGTAGCATCACAATATGCAAGATATGAAATATTTACAATGAAAAGACACAGCAAAATAAGCCGAGGGCCCACATCGTAACCTTTAGAATGAATACAAACCCGAAACTGTAGCCAAATGCAAAACACTGCTCAAAACAAAGGGAGAGATTTTTTTTAGTTTTTCAGAGAAAAAAAGTTTCCATTTTCATTGAAGAAAAAAAAATTACAAACAGCAAAAATCTGATTTCAGGTATTTTAAGAAACATTATTAACAGTTTATTTATACATTTGGTACATTTTTGTAAACTAAATTTTTAAAAGTGTAAATATTGCATATATGCCATTTGTGTTGTGTACCTTATTAACAAGAATTAACTAGGTCAAGTATTAATGATTTCTCTTAAATCTTTTTTTCTTCTTCCAGAATTACAGCATTAGAAAATGTCCTTATAGTGGCATCCATTTCACAAGACGAATCCACGACAGTTAAAAAATAAAATCAAAGCCACACGGTACTATTTAGCATATAACTTAATTAGTGCTTTTGTTGTAGAAAGAAATTTCACTCAAACACAGACTATGTACAATACAAACATCATAAGTTATTTAACTTAACGTCTCAAAACCTTTGCAGCCTTTGCTTCGATGTAATTCTCTGCACTATTTACAGTATATAAGTAAAAGGTTAGGTACCAGTGAATTCAGATAAATACAGATATACGTATATCTCCCCTGGTGTAGGTCTGTCGTTTGGCTGTTTGTCAGTTTATCGTCTCCACACTACCTCTGCATGTTCCAGTACGGTTGTCACGGTTGTTTGCGATGTTTGTTGGATTTGTGTGTTTGTGTGTGTGTTCCCAAACTTGGAACACAGCATATACTACATTCAACGTGTCTTGTGTTACAATCTAGAAAGTTTGTAAGTGCAAGACCATGCAGTGGAGGCCATGAGTCCGTGCTACTGAGTGACTGCGTCCTGCCTTGGCCACATTGCTCAGTGCTGTCCGGTGCTGTTAGACACGATGCCCGCATTTAGGCATCGGGTGAGAAAATGTTCAAGAAGACACTGGGGTGTCCAGTTACTCTGCACAAATAATTCTCAACATTCATTTCCCTTTCCCTGTTTTGAAAGGCTATAAAAAAGACAAACATCCTGTAGGAGATCACAGGTGAACAGGAAGGAAGGTGTATGAAGGCGCTATGTGTGTGTGTGTGTATAGACCACACGTTTCCACTGGGTTTGGAAGTAAATCCTTATGAATTATGAGCCAGTAAATATCAATGAATAGATTTATTTTGACTTTTTACTGGATCTGTAGATCTGTTACAAATAAGGGCCAGTCAAGTAGATGGAAACTTTTAACTGATCAAATACTTTTTAGCCACAAAATGTTTTGGTATTAAATTGTGTACACGTCTGTTTGACCAAGGATCAAGGGGAAATTTGGGAGGGTGAAATTGGGGGAAATTAATTTTAGATTCAACCGACATCAAATCAAGGATTAAGAATGAATTAATCTAGAGGTTTCCCTAATTCTTTTGTAATGAATAGCTTCAGGGGACAGTGAGATAATCTCAATTTTGGAAGTCACAGAAAAAATATAAATAGCAAGTGTTAATGTCAAACATCAATTCAAATGTGGTAATTATTTCTCTTTACTGTCATTGTTAAAAGCTGAAGCAGCTGAACTCCCAATCAGAAGGAGTTACTTCCAAAAGCAGCAGTGAAATTCCGGCCAACTTCTGGCATCTATTCCTTGTACCCAGACCGTAGAGAGGCCACAGTTCCTATCGGCACTCCTCACGCTGTTTCTCTAGTATGTAAGACACCTGCACACATGTACGACGCAGGCAACGTCAAGGTCTTGTGTGAGGCTTTTTAAGCATTCTTTTAGTGTGTCATATGTCCTCCATCACAGACATACCAATAAATATATTACTATGTTTCTCAACACATAATAGTGTCACAAATGTTTGCGGGGAGAAAAAGGAAGCTAATCTCAAACAGGGGGTGGCTCTCATTCAGCTCTGATGCACATTCAGTCTCTGGTGATGGGGTAAATCTTTGATATACTGCGTGTTTATAGGTCCAAACTTAAAAAATAAGGTCCGTCAGATGGCGCCTGGCGGAGAGAATAAGGCTTTGGATTGGTGATTCTTAAAAAACGTTCACCTCTGAAAATAAATATTTTATATTATATATTTCTATTGTGTGAATTGGTACCAACCTGGGTTCTTATTGAGGTAGGATTTCTTCTTTTTTTTTTTAAACAAATGTTAAATTGGATTTTTAAATATGTTCATAAATGCCACCTCGTATGCAGGACAATCTGTAAAAAACACACAATTTTCCTTTTTTTGCATTCAGACAGGATAGATAAATAAATAAATATGTGTAATCTGTACGCGCTTAGGGTTTTTTGCATGTATGTGTGCGCACGTACTCTCCAGGTTTGGTTCACAGGTTATCAGGTGAGAGCTGTTGGCAGCTATTGGCCAAAACCAATCAAATTGCCAACCAAGTGTTTTGAATGGTAAAAACAATAACAATTAACATAATCATATACTGCAGAATTGTTTTGCAGGCTTACATACAGTGATAAATAGATAAATAATTACCTATCCATAGTTAAAGTTAGTAGTCCATTTAAGTTTGTGTCTTTCTAGTACTACAGCAGCAATGGCGCCTGAATGTTTTGGTGCCGAGAGAAACGGGAGGGAAGATTTGGGGCAAAGGTCAAGTGTCCGGGTTTCCATGGTAATAACAGTTCCCGTGAACCCTGAAGGCAGCAAAGGGGTCAAAGGTCACTAGCTGCAGCGCATGGTCCAACTGTCTCTGTGGCGACCTTGTCACTTGGCTGCAGCCAAGTCCTACGTTCACATGGAGGGAGGGTGATGGGGGAGGCGGAAGCGAAATCCCAGAAGCCTTCATTCTAGAAGAATAGAGAGGGAAATAAACAAGAGTAAGTCAAACGTCAATGTGCTGCAAAGCTACATATAGCTAAAATATCGTATTTCTGTTTAACCATTGTTAGGTCACTGAAACACAAATGTATCATTCTGCTAATTTGTAGCATTTTCCAACTCAAATTTAGCTTTTTGGCAAATTCTTTGATAAACTTTACCCAATCTAACTTGATTTCTCTTTTAATTTTGGACCTTTTCAGAACAGAAATGTGTTTATCATTTGGCTAATAGATTAATTATCTTTTTGGCTGGATAATCTTTTAGTGTCTTCCTTCACTGCAACTCCAAAGAAATCCCCTGAAATTTGCTGTAATTATGATAGTCTGGCATCTTAGCAACACATAATTATTCATCAAGTAAACTTTTAAGCTATATTGAAAAAAAATACAATTATAAAATGTCATTTCTAACACAAGACAAAGCTGTAGAGTGAAGAAAAAGGTCAAACATGTCCCTCCTCTGTTACCAAGTAAAGAAGTGTTCTTTCAAGGGCCTGTCTTGGTGTGTATGATGCATGTGTGTGTGTGTGAATGTCATTCTTAACTGTTAGACACTAGGTTGGCAGGTGCTTTCACAACAGTAGGGTGACATTTAGCACAGTGGAGCTGACACAGGGAAGCTACCAAGAATGGCAAAGGAACTGGTAACAACATATTTCCCTACGTAGGCGTACATACAGCACAAACAGCCGCTATTCTTAATAACATCACTACGGGTTCTAAATATATATGTACTCCCACACAAAGTAATGCATCAGAGCTTTACACAAAACTGAAAGAAATCACAATATTAACGTTTTCCCAGTGGAACTCTGCACTGACCTTTGCCCCCGTGCACTGGTTTGTATGGTTTCATGTGCATGCAGAGCTATCAAATGAGAGCGGAAGTCTCGGTTGAGGCACGCATACATATACACGCACAAACGCACACACACATACACAGCCTCCCTCCATGGCTGCATTTCTTCCCTCACTCCAGCGTCTCCTCTCCCTCCACATGAACAAGAGCTGTTTTCACAAAACTGGATGTGATCCTCATTCTCTAAAACAAACCTTTCTTTCAGAGTCCTCAGCCCCTCCACCCCCACCCCCTGCTCTGCCTCCTCCTCAGCAACTCCCACCATAAACACACTTATGTCTGTTTTCCTTCTTTTGCACTATACATGCTCGCTCTTAATGAAAATCAGATGTTAATTTCAGAATCAAAGCTTCGCAAAACTCAACCTTTGCTGATGAATGAAACATCACAGCGGGGACACAAGTAGAGAGCACAGGATTCTGTGTGTGTGTGTGTGTGTGTGTGTGAATACCCCCCTCTCACACACACACACACACATTATAAATGATTAAATAATTGAATCCACTCCTGCTTGGCTCAGTCACCCAACAGCCATGGGTGTCAGTGACAGAGGAAAATAGAAATGCCGAGGAGGGATGTGGTGGAAAAACCACAGTAACAGAATCAACCTGACAGAGAAGAACGGGAATGCGGTGAGGTCATGGGACCAACAGTCTGTAACGATCTAAATGTGTGTGCATGTGTGTTTTTCTGGAGGGGCTGCACCAAGCAGAGGCCTGTAGAGTCAGACACCAGGGTGAGAATGACTGAGATCTGCCGGGAAGGGGAGCTGAATCACTCACGGCTTAGATTAGCAACCAGGTGGAGACACCAGCGTAAACACTCTCAAACATTATGACCATTATCAACAGTTGTGCAAGTCGGGACTCTCACTTTTTTCCATGTATCAAGTCTGAACAAATTTAACGTTATTCATTACGACTTCAAGAATCCAAACACACACAATTTCTTTCCTTACAACAGTCTCCAGCTGACTTTAGGTTTACAGACACGGAAGCATTATAAGGCTAAAGACAGGGTATTTGAAGTTTTGTGGAAGAAAATACGTGTTGTTTTTGCAGTCCATCACATTCTTTTGCCCAAAAGCACTGCTGGGTTTGCTTGTAAACAGCAGAACAACATAATCTTTTACTGTTGGACTGTTGGAAGGTTTCAAAAAGAACACATTTTTCTTCACAATTTTGACTTCATAATCACTTTCTGTATGGAACCCAAGCCCCTTCCATACACTGAAGGACTTAAGTAGCTATGGTAACCACATATTGTATGTGTGCAGTGGGGACGAGGCCAGCACATGGTATACATAACATGCTAGCCCACGTGCAAAGTGCACTTCCTCACTGAATCAAGGGGAGTCATCAATTCAAAATCCATATCCCTATGAAGAGCATAGAAATTTCTCAAATGTATTGCAGGTAAAAACCGATGTGAATTTGACACATTTAAACACATTTAAGCTAAACCGCTGCAGTACATTTCTTTACCACAACAGCCCAACGAGAGTCTCACCACAAATAAGCTGCTAATATAATGCATGCTGGTCGTAGGAGAGTGTGGGTGGGCAGGGACATTTTGTGGGTGTGTGTGGTGTGTGCGTGTGTGTAGGGGGGTGTGTAATGGAGAGACGAGGGGACACAGGTCCACCGGGGGAATGAACTCAGTGGCTCCAACCCCTCCTTCTTTTTTAAGCCCATGCACATTTCCCTCCAACCCTCTCAACAACTGATGTCTGTGCCCCTGTCCCGCACCTACACACACACATGCTCTCTCTCACACACACACACAAACACACAGACTAAGGCTCTGTTCATTATTTATTTAGTTCTCACAGGCTAAATTTAGCCGTGCTCCATTCACGGCCAGGCCACACTTGCATTAGCGGCCTACTCTCTCGTGCTTCAGAAGCAGTGTAAACAAGGGCCCATGTTTGTTGATGAATCATTTGCTTGAGTAGTTTTACGGCGTAAAAGAGCCGAGTTACTGGGTGAACTGCTCCAACCCCTAAAAAAAGAGGCTCACCAAGTGTTTGCAACCCAAACACATGCAGTAAAAAAAGCAAAAACAAAAAAACAAAACTGATGCAAGGAGAAGATTTCTCTGTAGAGACAGGAGATCAGCAGGCTCAGATATGCTCTGTTTACCTTCCTGCTCTGCTGGCTTCTCCCTGATCTACAGCAGTGTTCAACAAAACAAAAACACTGACTGACTCTTCACCTCTGACCTCACACACCTCTGTCTGACCAGCAAAACAACAACAACCACTAACTCTCTCATTCTGCCAGCTGATAATTACACACAAAGAACACTGCACAATCTAGGACATCAATTTGCCTTGTTGTTTAGCCATGCTAAAATGATGCTACATAACCTACATGTATCAGAAGGGCTAAATGTTTTTGAATGAGACAAAAAAGTAAACCAAGAACCGAAAACATTTAGCAGCTTGACACCAATTATAAAAGTAAGAAACTACTGATTAATTAACTAGATTTAAAGAAAATATTCATATTAATACACTGGACTTAAGCACAGTTTCCCTGTCACTCAATTGATTTGTTTTTATTGTGGTATCCCAATATTTCGCAGTTAAATGAATAAAAAGAATAAAATGTGTAATCACCACAAATATATATTTATATATATATATATATATATATATATATTTTTTTTTTTTTTAATCTAACGTATGATTATAAAAAGACATAACACTAGTTCCAAACAAACAACTGAGCCTATAATATGCAGAACATACGTGTTTTGTGTGCATGTACTCTACTGTGACACACGAGGCTCTGTCTCTTCACAGAAAAACAAGCTCCTCAACAATGTCTAATCCTGAAGTGAATGTAATCCTTCTTACCTTCCAGCTAAATTAAGGATATGGTAGGTTAACTTAGTTTTCAGTTAACTTCCTGGAACATCTTGCCCTACTTTGCCCCAAGAGCCATGAATCAGACAGCCTAGCGTGTCGTGAATGTGTCCATGGGACAGACATGTACAAATAAAGACATGAAGACAGAAACTTATTTGGGAATACTGTGCTGTAGGTTTAATCAGAATTCATATTATACTATTCATATTCATATGGCGCTGTTTTGATACTGAGGAACAAATACCCAAAGGCCAACTTCTAGTTCCATACATCGGAGTATGTAAATGTCTCTGATAAATAACCTTTGCTGTCCAGTTAGAGATAATATTTGCATTCGCATACTATGGAAACCTAAAGTTAGCCTATCTACATATTTTCCACAATAAAGCAAACTAGCAAAAGGGTTAATTTCAAAAAGTAGTTAGTTAGTAAATGTGAGTAAAAGGGGTTAGGAACATTTTTTAAATGCTGTTTACCTTTATGGTGGGGTGTAAAAATGAACTTTATCCACACATCATATTAAACTTTTAAACCACTGAAATTGTCACAAGACACAAACAAACACATTCTGCTCACAGCATGTGAAATAACAGGATGTCTCCAAAGACTTTCATTTACATTTAAAGATGTGTCTACAACAGTAGGGACAGGTTTTTTAAACGGGAAACAGGAATGATTTGTGTAGAAGTATGAGTCAGTTGTTTAGACTGGCTGCCTGTCTTTTCTTGTTGTTAAGTGCTGGTGTAAGATAAATGAAGCAGGAGTTAGAGGGAGCCTTGTTAGCGGCTCTGATCAGAAATGATTTGTTAATTGTCTAATGCAGTGTTAGACAAATCTCCGTGGCCTCTCGTGTGAAAAGCCAATCAAAGGAGGTCCACTGAGGTCAGATAGTAACTGCAAAAACACAGGGCTCCAATGTCCACCGGTGGGCTGACGGAGACTATTTGTGTCGTGGAGGTGGTAATTGGGAGGCCGGTGGGTTGAATCACATGATTTGCCAATGCCTAGAGAGAAGAGGAGGAGAATGTGGGAGGACAAATGGGGGAGGAAGGGTAAGAGAGCTTCTTAAAACTGCTTCGCCACGCCCCCACCTTCTCCCTGTTGTTGTTGTGGCAGATGGTGGCCAGTCATTAGCGTATTGTCACTCTCCTCTGAAGGGCCAGTGAGCACTGCTTGGCGGGGCAGGTGCAAAACCCCTGACCCTTAGTAGCCCACTGCCATCTGCTTATGGCTGTGTGTATGTGTATGCACACAGAAGAGGTAGACTTAAATTATGTGACCAATGTTACGCAGTTAGTACAGAGTGTTAAGCTAAATAAAAATAAGACTGGACTTATAAAACAATAAAAGGACAAAGCTAGAATATCAAAACACTATGAAAGACAAACCAAATATTTCACTTAAAAATGCACCAATTCAAGTGTACAGCTCCACACAACAGCAGAGCTCAGCACTATATTACCATGGCTAACGTCCATTAGGAATGGAGTTTTTAAGCACTTAATGGTTAAACTGAGTTGAACCATTAGATAAACATAAGGAAAAAAAAAACACCCAAAAAACAAAAAGCATACCCAACTAACAGACGAACATTCTTGAGACACGTGACCATCTGAACAAACAGACATGTAAGAAAAACACATTTGCATGTTAAAGACGTGACTCCCTTACCCTTTGCCTCATAAGCGATTTGTTTTGCTCAGTGCGTCTGCTTGAGAATGATGTACTGCAGGGGATATGAACTATTCCCAGAGATAAGAGAATGTTGTAAAGCCTGTCATCTTGAAGTAAACAGGTGTGCCCCGTCGTGTATTGCATTTGGCTCTCAGTATCAATAGCTTGCTGCACAGGTCACTTAGGCAATCGGCATTCATCTATCTTTGTTTGGAGAGGATTACATAACTCAGACAGAAGAAAAAAACAACATCTTCCTGGAAAACAACACTCGCTGTAAATGTTTCTTTTTACTACTCCTTACAGAAAGTAACTTCAACCTAGCAAACCTTAGGCCAAACCTTTGACAACCTAATTTATCAATCATTCCTCCATCACTATTGTTCGTTCATCTCCCTGTTTCTACCTCCTTTCTTTTTTGTTTTACTGGCTTTAAACAAAAAACTTTGTTTAATATTTTGGTCCTGGGATGAAGTAAGAATTAAATGTGTGTGTGTGTGTGTGTGTGTGTGTGTGTACTTGGTGTTACTTGGTTATACAATAATGCCTGCTTTTCATTTCACTTTCGTTTTTATTCCATGTAACACCATTCTGGACTGGGCTGTGGCTATTAGACACAAATATTTATTACTTATACTTATATGTCCTTTGTGTAGAACTTTGTCAAAGTCTTCAGCTTCTTTAAAGTTTATTACCAAGATACATTAGGTATAAAGCAGTTACAACCATAAAAAGGTGTTGTTATGATTATTCTCTCATTTTATAATGGTTTGTAGAATACCTTTGTATTTCTAGCTACTATAATAATGATATTTTTATATCCGTACTGTAAAGTATCACATATAGTATATTCTCTGAAGCAGTAGAGAGCTACTGCTCCCACGTAAAACGGTTTCATCCGTGTGTTTATTAAGTTGCTTGTTGTGAAAAAAGTGACTCTCCCTGCCCCCCTCTAAGTCCATCCCACCAGGTTAGAAAAACAAGTGAGCATTCACCTCTCCCAGCAACCTTTGCACACTGCCCGCATTCCAGTCCTGAAACCCAGTACCTGACAACTGATAAACAACTGACTCACTTGTTTTTCTGGGGAACCCGATGACTTCCACCAAGCCCCACACGGCTGCGCTCACAGCATGAAAGTCAACAGAGACAGAGACAATGAGAGACAACTTTGTTGTGAAACCACAAACGGCAATTAAACTCTTGTGTTTCACCATCAGGAACACACACTTCTGACTCACGGTGATCCTCACAGAGTGTTTTCTTCTTTAGACAACAGCAACTTCTGACATGCCATTGCCAGGTCATCTATACCAGTAAATAATCCCTGCCGTTTAAAGGTGCATGAAAAGCCACCAACATAACAGAAAACCAACAAGGTGAAATACAATATTTTGATGGCAAGTGTTCTTCCCGACAAAGACAAGTTGTCCCAGGGTTTTTCACAGCTTAGTCACATGCATAATACATAATAGTGACTTAGATTAGATGTTTATGAAACAGTGATATGGATTGTTTTTTTTTAACTTATCATCAAAAGAAACCACATCAGAAAATATACCCTGATCAACAATGTAATTGAGTCATCCATAATAAATGTGATAATAAGACAAAGCCATAATTCAGGAGAAAAACAACGATCATATTCTGTTGTTTTGCAAACTTGAGCTTATTTGTCAAATATTGCTCATTGCTCTTATTCTGATCAGCAGAGTCCTTAGCATCTCGCTGCTTTGAGATTTGCCCATGTGTCATGGGTGTGACGGTCAAATGACTAATGCTATCTAAACATCACAGCCTACACCCAGCAGCAGTGCTCATAACAACTCACTTCCCCAGGCTCCTGTAGCCAGTGTTTACACACTTCATGCTGCTATCATAACACTCAACCTGGCTGTATGTTACTCCTGTTGAGGAACAAATATTTTGCAGGTAGTAAGGTAAAAGCCGTAAGTCACTACATAACACTGACTTTTTTCGTTTCACAGTCAGTTCTAAAAGCAGTAACATGGGGTTTACGCTAGATATTTTGAGCAAATAGACTCAATTACACACGCACACACACATGCCTGCCCATACACATCAGATGATTGTTTTCAAATCTTGTGGCAAAACATTCCAAGTTTGCATCTAAGATATGTTCAGAATTGCTACTGCTTATCTCCAAAAATAAACAGTAGTTGTGACGTGAATCAGCAGTGTACTCAAGCCCTGACAACCACTCCCTTCATGAATGAAAACCTGCAGAATGAATGAGTAAGTAAGTGAGACGTGTAAGACAAACACTCACCTTTTACAGCAGCTGCAGCTGTCTCCTTGAATCCCAGGCTGGCATAGGGGCTTGTGCTGAAACCATTCATTCCGCCTTTGCAACCACACGCTGTCTTGAACCTCAGGAGGCCCTCGCAGCCACCTAAACGGCATCCCCCGTAGCTTCCCTCCATCAAATTTAAGGCAATATAGTTAAGTCCATTTTGATAACCTGTTGACATCTCCCTGCACATTGAACTGTTGTTGCTATAGTCCTCATCAGGTCCCTCTGAGCTACAAACAGTCCGAGATACATTCTCTACAGAGGCAGAGCTGTGCCTTTTGGTGTTGTGAGCAAAGGATGGACACACTGGTGTGACAGTTGTGGTGGAGGAGAAGGTTTCAGAACTGTGCCGCCTGCGACCCTGTGGGTCAGCCTTGATGACTTTGGCACCCCTGTGAGGATCCACGAGGGTGACGGACAGTGAAGGCCCCCTCAAAAGAAATGAGTCCTCCTGCACTAGAGGAACTCCATTCTCAGTGCTGTTTTCAAGGCTAAGTCTCTGGACACAGGAGGTAGGGCTGGTGGGGAGAGAAGCAGCATCAGTGCTGCAGAGAGTAGGGAGAGTGGTGGGAGGACTGAAAGTCATCTCAGTGTAGTCATCCTTGACTGGTACAGGCTGACACACCAGGCTCACCTGCTGCTGAGGAGGACATTCCTCTACTACCTCCCTCTCCTCTGTCTGTCTTGTGCTTTTTTTTGTCTTTTCTTCATCTCCCAGCATGCCCTGCTTTGTATTGACCGAGACTTCAGGTGTGTGGTTTATAGATGGTTGAAGAGAGGAAGCCCTTGCTTGCTGTGAACTAGAGTGAAGTGAGGAGTTGAGGTCAATTTTAGTACAGTCTGAGAGCGGTATAGAGACCTGGTTTCCACACCTCAAATTTTCAGAGGAGTCACAGCTCTCTGACACAGTGGGTGGCTCAGGGTCATGGACAGCACTGTTAAAGTCTATATTGATATATTCTCCAGGGCTGCGTGGCTCTGAGGGAAGGGGATGTTCACTCATGCATGGTAACGTTCTGAGAGATTCCAGGGCAAGACGGGTGGGCCGACACACCCTGCTACGGTGTACCATCACCCCATCTACACGAGCAAGTCTTAGAGGAGCTACAGTAGACGACACGGTGCTCTGTGTGTCTGCACAGGTGCTGGCCACTGATTGTCCAGGAGAGACTGGACAATAGTTGGGCTCCTCTTCTATCCGCTGCCGTTGTAAACTCATCACCACATACTGGTCTGTGTCTGTGGACCCGCTGCGCTGCAGCTGACCTTTAAGGGAGCGTGGTAAAGAGCTGTAAGAAAAAGGCTGTCTGTGTAATTGTGTGGGGTGAGAATCTCCTCCTGTGGGGCTAAGGATGTACTCTGGGGGTGTAAGAGACACAAGAGGATCTACAGGAGACATATTCAAATACTCTCCATTGGTTAACTTTCCATCAGTACTCTCCACAGACATCTTGGATCCACACCACATGGGCATGTAGCCACTGTCCTCTAAAGAAACACTCCCAGGAGAGTCTGTGTGCGGGGCCAGCCCGGCTGAAGAGGAGTGTAAACGGGGGTTGATGATCTGCTTTGGAGCAGAAACACACATTGGGCTCATTGGCATGTAGGGGTAATCCTTGGACCCTGGTGTTGGAGGTGCCACACCTGGCATCATAGGCATGTAACCACTGTCAGTGTGTGGATTGTTCGATGATATCTGGACATCCCTGTAGTCCTCAGGATAGGTCCCCTTAGGGGAAGTTGTTTGACACCTACGGGAAGACTGATTTCCACTTGTGTATGTGGCCCTCATCAGAGTGTACTCGTCCAGAGAGGCCGAAGACACATGAGAAGGTGTCCTCTGCTGGCGGGGGGTAGTGAGGGAGTAGGTGCGTTTTCGATAAGCCTTATCCAGCTCTGGTAATCGACGAAAACCATTCACATTTTGCCGCTCCATCACCATGTAGCCGTCAAGCTCACTGCCGTCACGGGAGGGGGGAGTGTCGGCTCTGAGGGACTCGGGAGTGTTGCTTCGGAGGGTGAGTGACAATCTGATCTCACGCACATCAGCAGGGCTGGATCCATACTCCTCACACGATATGAAGCCAGCATCACTGGGTGAACCTGAGAAGGAGGCACTGCAGCTGGAGGGTCGGGGGGCACCTGTGTCTGGACAGGAGGACAGACTCACCAGGCTATGAGTGGCTACTGGTGGGGTGTGGGACAGTGGCATAGACATAGACTTGCTGTGTTGAAGGGAAGAAGCTTCAAATGTCCGACAGGGGTGAGCTGTAATTGTGTGTGATCTGCTCAGGAGGGTCCTGTGGACCCCCGGGCTGAGTGGGCTCCCATTCACTGACATGGGGCGTGTCATGGTTCCATCGCCCTCACTGGCTGTTCGTATTCTGCAGGAAGAAAATTTACTCACAGGAGAAGTTGCAGCCATGCTGTCAGTGCGTGACCGTCGAGGAAGCCCCGTCTGACTGGGTGGTAGGTTGTTCAGGTGCCTCCTTGTGGGCACTGATATTGGGTTTGTACCAGATGACTGGCTTTTGCTGCGCGGGCGGAATTCAGACAGCTCCTTCATAGCTTTCATCGCCTCCAGAATGGTTTCGTGGATGTTTTGCGCAACTACTGAGTCATCCGCCTGCATCCACAGCTCACCCGGACCTGTGGCCGCAGACCGGCCCACTTCGATAAAGAAAAAGCTGTCTGAGTGGCCGCAACGTCGGATGTTCATCAGCTGCAAAATGACTGAGGCAACCTCCGAGTTCAGCTTGACAAAGCTGATAGTCCGGCTGGAGAGACACAGTCTGTACACCCCGGTTAAATTCCTGCTCTGCCCCAAGCCTTTCGACTTCAGATTTACCTGCCACACTTCCTTGTAGGAGGCAGTGACCGGCGTTATTACACCGTAGCTCGCCTCGTCGAAGCCAACCAGCGAGGACGCAGAGTTGGACGCAGAGCCGTCGTACACTTTCCCCTCCGCTATTAAATCCGTCAGCTCCCGGTACCAGCTCTCCTGTTCCTGTTCGTTTTCTGCGGCCACGGCGAAATATTCGTCCTTGGTGTAAAGAGCAATGAGATATTTGTGCTTGGCGTCCGCCCGCTTGTTGATGTTGAGGCAGGAGTCCAGAGGAATCACTCTCTTCGCCGCCGATTTGTTTTTCCATTTCTTCTCGCTCTCGTAGTACTCCAGGCGCGCAGGGAAACCCTCGCTGGGCTCCTTCAGCACGAAAAAGCGCTTGTGTCCGTGTTTTTGCTTCTTCAGAAAACCGCATTTCTTGACCCGGCCGTTCACATTGCTGGGTAGTAACGGCTGATCTCCCGTGTTCGGCGGACTCGCCATTCTTTTGCGTCCCTTTACGCAGCGCGCAGACACAATGCTCCGGTCTTTCCTTGCTTGCTCGCTTCCCCGTTTCCCTCAAATGGCTGAAGAAACGGTGACGCTTTTAGTGTAATCCTCGTATCCCTGGAGCCGCTTGTGTTCTTCTTCTCCCACAGCTGAGGGATAAATAACACATGTCTCCTGGCGTCCGGAGTGAGGAGGGGAAACAACATGTGACGGTCTGCGCACATTCAGCACTGGCTTAATAAAAGGAAGGGAAAGGAGGAGGAAAAATACGCACACACACTCTCAGACTGATAGTGGGTGGCGCACAGTTAGCTCATTGGGCCTATTGGTTGAAACAGGATGAATGCTGGAGTGAGATGGCTCAGGTTCAAAGAGGAGGGAGAGGGGAGAGGAACCGCCTCCTACTATCACTCTGCCCTCTTCTGACTCCTTTGAGTGTAGTCACTCAGAACCGGAGCTTTATTTATAGTAGCTCCGCTTGTGTGATCCAGCAATATGGCAGCAATATAAAGAATTTTATAACACATCAGCCCTGGCATTAAAAACAGATGTTCTTTACTGTAACTTCTGCACAAATATTATTTTATTTTTTTTAATTCATACCTTTAGGTTCCACATAATACATGACTTACATCTGAATATCTCGACAATCGTGTGCTGTATTTTCTTTTATTCAGTCCAAAAAAAGGACATCAACTTTATCCAGTTAAACTTTCACTGACAGATTCTGTCTTTTAAATACATTCTACGGTATATTCGACATACCTTCCATGTAAATTAAGGTTGATTTCACACCAAATGGACTATTTTATAATATATTAGAATTCTGTGATTAATGTCGGAATTAAAAATTTGATCTCAGAGATTTTCTCAGAATTCTAGAAAGAATGTCCAGTCTGGGACCAACTATAGCCCTAGGTCATTTGTATGTTCTGGAAACCAGCCCACAAAATGGACTTTCCTCAAGGAAACAGCGTCCTCACCAGCCTCTCTGTTGTAAACCGCAATAACAAACAAATGTGTGGCACACAAAAACATATATTATAGATAATATATTACTTCTACACATCCACCTACGTAGTTTGAAGCAACACAAAACTAGTACACAACTAACAGTGTAAATCGAGTGAATTCTACCCTGTTTTCCCATAGTCCTCCAATTCCATGGTATTATACAGTTTGGAACCTGATATCTGCAGCTATACCACGCTTATGCATATTCCTTTATTATTGTATTGCTTCTTGATGCACACTTTAACCCTATAATCTCTGGTCACAAAATGCACCCAATTCTGCCAATTTTATGAAAGATTGGAGTCACACTTTGAAGTACATTTACCTAATGCCATACTTTTTGCTATAGATTCATGACATAGACGACAAATCAAGGGAAAACAATTGCCTTTTCATTTGTACAGCATTCAAAACATCATTCAATCTTAACCCGTGGTTTGTTTTTATCATCTGCAATATATGTAACTGTAAAATATCACAACCTACAGGTATATTTTTAAAATGAATGGATTCATGAAAATAAATATGTAATATTATTTATTTATTCATTCATTAAGTACTGACTTAACAGAGACGGGGTACAGAATTTGATTACTGTACATAGTTTGCAAAATAGAATAGCACTTCATAATTTTGTACCAGGTGTGATCCCCCCTTTTTTAGGCACACCCCCCCCCCGCCCAGATATAGATATAATGAATGAATATGTATTTATTTATTCATTCATTTATTTATTTTAAAGATCTGAGGCACATATTTCCAGAGCAGTGTGCTTGATTGCGTAATCTGCTTTACTCGTGTTTGCCTGGAGCTCCGAGCGCTGCTGTCGAGCTGCTCGGTTCTATGGCTCCACCTGCTCCATTCACAAACAGATAGTGCGACGACGAACGGGCCGGGATACAAAATGGTTTCAGGATGCTAAGCCGCAACCGCCTGAACCAGACTCCAGCATCCCCCAGGCAAGGGAGGCACGAAAGCCATATATGGAAACAGAGACCGGGGGGGAAATGAACCCGAAAAAATAAATAAAATAATATTTGTAGTGATGACGCAAAAAAATCATCCGGATCATGGTGCGTCAATGCTGATGATGTGCGTAACGATGATCTGCAGTAGCCAGCCAGCCAGCTGGGTACCGCCAGCAGGAGGATGTGTGCGCGCGTGCGCGGCTGTACCGATAGTCACCTCGTCGTGCCCGACAGCACAGCTTCACTGACGAAAACAGCCAGTCCTCTTACACGCAGGTCACATGTGGACACAGCCCAGGCACAACCGCAAAGTACGCACACGTCCGACTGCATTGGTATCAACGCTCAGAGTAAACAATATGTCAATCATCGGCTGCTGCTGTGCCATCTTTAGATCCTCCTCAGATCCCACTCATTCACAAACCAACAGCCCAGTAAATTCTACTTCAAAATGTATAATTACTGTGTATTTTTGCCCCCGTTGCCACCGATACTGGCGTGTTTTTTTTTTTTGTTTTGTTTTTTGCATTTTAATCTTTTGTGTTTCTGTGTCTATCTCTGTGTGTCTATGTGTGTGTGATACAAGTTGCCTACTGCTGCCTCAGCACCCTTTCAACCTTTTCCAAAGCAGCAAGGTCATTTACAATGTATTAGAGTCAATTACACCACCAGACCCCATGATATAATGACTGTTCCCATTAAGAAAGGATAAAAAGATTGCTGAATAGCATTCTATTTCACATGACATATATACATACATCTAATAATAATAATAATAATAATATACAATGTGGTTTGATGTTTGCTGTTCAGTCCTATTGGATTGAATTTATTTTTATTATTATTATTATTATTATTGTTATTATTATTATATGCAATCACTTGCCCCTGTAATCACTCAAAAAGAGAAAAATACCAGTATACAAGATTACCATTATTATTTATTATATAATACTAAGAAATTTGAATCCATTTTAGTTCACCCAGCTTTGAAGTTATAAAAAAAGTTATATATCACTTTACAAAATGCGCATGTCCAATTTATGTTGGGATGACACAGGAAATGCAAACCTCATGGGTGGCACATATATCTTTATGACTCTTACTTTCTAGTTTTGTTTACTGATGGCCATATGAAATGCTTGGTGTCTATGTGTTGCTTGAAATACCTCGTAAACCCCAGCCATGCAGTGCTACGGACGCATCTTGGTATAAATAGATGTAGCAGAGTTGGCTGCTGAAACCCCCTTGGCTCAGATATCTCCCTGTAGGATAAGGAGATTCCTCTGTTTATATTAGGTTTCCTACATGACAGACGCAGGCTGGCAGCTCAGCTTTCACTCTCTCTGATAACAAACAAGTCACCTACTGCCATCGTTGGCTGTTAAGTGAGTGACTTGCTACTGTTGTATGGATTACAGCAATGTTTGCACAAACTACTGTTGCTCAAAGCTGTCAGACTTTATGAATTGACTGTGTTCATGTACCAGGCATTATAAACTCCATGGCAACCCCTGTCTTGTATTTAATGTCCTGACCTGACTCTGGCAAGATAAACAGAAGCAGAGTGGGGGTGGTGAGAAGTGAGAGCAAGGGCAGAAGGAAAGACTCTTTCATTTTGAATAACACATGAAGCATAAGAAATGCAAATCAGCTGTCCATAAAATACCAATAAGGTTTTGCGATTGTCCCATAAAGTGTGCTGCTTGCAATCCTAATCCGGTTACCTCCGCGCTGTGTCCTTGCCCTTTTCTTGGGTAACCACATGAATATTTATCACCTCCAGTTTACACAGCATGGTGCATTAATTTACAAGTTAATTAAAAGGGCCGGCCTAACCTGATTTACTAGGTTTTAGACGGGCCCTCTCATCGTCTCCTGTTATGAACCCATTAGGTCTTTATAGATTTATTTATTTAGCGATAGATGGGTATCTGACCATGCCTGGGCTTCCTGGTGTAAACAGAGGGACTATCCTTTTCTGTAGACTCTGTTCGTTTCCTGTTGTCCAAGTCATGTTCTTTAAATAATTAATACCAGTTCAAATAAGTTAAATAGACATGGCGTGATAGATTAGATAAATGTAAACGCCACAGAAGCCTGGAGCTTTGAGGAGCTAATCTCATTTGGGCTCTTCAGGCTGAGGCTACAAATATAAACAGCCTCATTTGTCCCATTTGCTGAGTCACAAGCACATAATGTCTTCATCGCCCACTGCACTGTCACTGTGCCCAGCGATTGGTTTCATAAGCTTGAATAGAGCAGATTAGAAAAACAAATCTGATGAGATGAGATTAAGGACGAGCAGTAGGCAGGTTTGAGATTAGGGTGCAGACGTTCTCTTCCTACTGTCACACCAGGCTCTGTCAAATGAACAGCAGACTTGAACTGTATACATCCAGTCGGCATATACACACTCATCGCAGTGTGGCTCCCTCATCTTATTAGTCAAAGACAAAACAGACTGGAGATAAAGCCCGGTCTGTCTGAGTCATGTGACGCTGCTGTTTTTAGTCAGGTTGTTCTTTTGGCTGCAGCAGGGAATACCTTGGTTATTTTCTGATTCTTTCATAATATCAGGACAGTATGCTACGTCTGATGATTCAATGCTGAACATGTTGTTCTGTTCAGACCTAAGTCAGATTTTAGCAGACGGCTCAGTCTGGAATAATAATAATAATAAACCTATTCTATTGAAATGATCTATCTCTTGATGAGAATCTCAAAATATATAAACCTCTACTACAGTAAATACCACAAGTAATGTGGGGGGCAACAAGTAGATTAAAATACTGGAATTATCTACAGCTCTGAGCCACAAAAAAAAAAAAAAAAACCACAAGTAATGTGGGGGGCAACAAGTAGATTAAAATACTGGAATTATCTACAGCTCTGAGCCAAAAAAAAAAAAAAAAACTAAGTTTATATTTTCTAAAACTTACCTCTGTGTTTGGTCCAGGTGCAATATTAATGCTCTTTGGGACATCAAATTTCAGAGCACTAAAATGTGATTAGATTGCACATATATGTGGCAAATACCACAAAGCCAAAAAAAATGTCAAATGTTAGACAAAATGTCTGGATGTTAGCCGAAAGGTAAATAAATGTTTCTAATAAGCCTAAAATGGTAATAAAAAAGGTTTTTTGTCTCAACCTTCACACATTCAGACTGTCTTTCCTACCAACTCTGTAATTCCCTGAACCCAATATTGTAAGCAGTTAATGATAATGAAAGCTGTTTTCTGTGCTCTTGAGCACATGGACTATGGATCGTTCCATTCCATCTCGTGTTGTCAACCATAATTGGCTCGATTTCTGAATCAATACGACAAAGACAGAAGTGAAATTTCTCTCCTGGTTCATTTTTGAGCTGATTGATCACCAGGCCGACCTGGAGGAGAGCCCATGTAGATCCTTGTCGTATTGAACACCGTGGCTGTATGGTGGTAGCAGTTTTGATTGCCTTAGTTTTCTCTAACTCGTATTTTTTTAATCATTTTGGA